TTCTTGGCCTTGTAAGTTAGCAGTTGAGAACACTAATCGAAAAGGAACTTCAACTGAATTTTATTGACTTAAGACTCAGGGAGATTGGACACAAGTCAGTCCCCATTCTCATCATTCTATTTTGAGGAGGAGCCACATGTCTTGGTGCATCCAACACTAACCAGACTCTTGGAGGTCACTACTGCCGGCTCCGGCTGGGGTTACAATTATTTTGGCAGGTTAAATCACCACCACCAGATGTAGCCCAAACGAAATGCAAGCTTTGCAATTGGGACGTTTGTACACCTGTGTCTTTTGTACTTGGAGGAGTGCGATAAAATTTAATGAATTTAGAGGACAACGTATTCAGAAATGTTCATGAAATGGCAATGTATTTTATCCACAGTGGTATATTACAGACCATTTCTGGAAATATACCTTGACTTTGCTCACTGTAATTAACCCAGCAATATCACGTGTGTGTGAGTGTGTGTACTCACCTATTTGCGGTTGCAGGGGTTGAGTCTTAGTCCTGGCCCCAGCTCTTCACGGTTGCTCTGGGGCCCCTCTCTCTCCCCGGCTCATGAGCTTATTCAAACCTCGTCTTAAAAAATTCGTATGGTTTCTGTCTCCACTCACATCACTTTCTAGGCTGCTATTCCACTGCCTGACAACTCTATGACTGAAGAATACTTCCTAATATCATCTCTGATCATCTGTGTCCTGCAACTTCCCATTTGTGACCTCTTGTTCTGTGTCCCATCCCTGAAAACATCCTGTCTTTGTCCACCTTGTCTTTCCGCGCAGTATTTATATGTTCGTTATCATGTCTCCCCGGAACCTCCTGTCCCTCTAGTGTCGTCAGGCCGTTTTCCCTTAACCTTTCTTGATTGGACATTCCCTTAACTGTGGAAAACTAACCTTGTCGCAAAACTTTTGCACTTTCTCTAGTTTCTTGACGTGCCTTTATTCAAGTGCGGGTTCCAAAACAGGGGCCTGCCATACTCCAGGTATGGGCCAGACGTACAACGGTGTAGTGTCATTGAACGATTCCTTATTAGGTACTCGGAAGTTGCTGTCTCAGGTTTGCAGGCGACACATATGCTGCAGCAGTTACTGGTTGACTGTTTGCTTCCGAGAGACATGCTCGGTGTTTACTCACTCCAGATCTTTCCCCTTGAGTGAGGTTTGCAGTACTTTGGCACCTAGGCCTATACTCTGTTCTGCGGTCTTCTGTGCCCTTTCCCTATATTCATGACTTTTGCATTTCGCGGGCAATTAAATTCGGGAAGCCAGTTGCTGGACCAGGTGTCCAAATCTGTCAGGTCTCTTTGAAGTTCTGCCGGTCCTCCATCTGATTTAATTCTCCTCATTAACTTCACACGTCTGCGACAGGGACATTCGTGAATCTAAACCCTTCCTTCATGTCGTTCACATATACAAAAATAGCCACTGGTCCTAGGACCGACCACTATGGGACCCCCGCTCGTCACAGTTGCCCACTGTGATACATCATCACTTACCATGATCCGTTGTTGATCACTTCGTCAGGTCATTCTCTGATCCACTGCCAAGTGACCTTCCTGTTATATGAGCCTGATCCTCTTGCTTCTTTCACTAATCTCTTGTGATGAACTGTGTCCAAGGCCTTTTGCAGTCCAAAGAAGACGCAATCAACCCACCCCTCATCTCTAGTATGTTATTACTTCTGTTACTTATTCTTAAAACTCCAGAAGGTTTTTGACACAGGATTTTTCCTTCATGAATCCATGCTGGTTCGCCGTTTAGACTCCTTGTTCCGTTTCAAGGTGCTCCACCATCCTCCTCCTGTATAAATCTGCCTCCGTAACTTTGCCAGACTATAAACGTCAATGGACAACAGGTCTATAGTTTAATGTATCTCTTTTATGTTTCCTTTTTTAAAAATGGGAACACATATGCCGTCATCCATACCTCAGGTAGTTGCCCAGTTTCCAGGGACGTTGTTGAAGATTGTGGTAAAGTGCACACAACATTTCCGCTCCCTCTATCTAAAAGACCCACAGGGAGATGTTTGTCTGGTCCATTTGCCTTTGAGGTATCGATGTTCCTTAGGCAGTTTCTTCACCTCCTCCTCATCTGTATGTTTGTCATCCAAAAACACTTGTTGTGTATATTCATTGGCTGGTGTCCCCATCTGTGTCTGTCCCCCCAGAGGCCTTCCTGTCTCCACTGTAAAACCTTCATTATTCTCATGTTGAGCTCCTCAACATACCTCTTGATCGTTTCTTGTGTGTTCTCCACTTCTTTCCTCAGCCTTATCACCTGGTCTTATGTTGTCTTCATTCAAACGTGGCTATTACAGCAGTTTTGGGTCAGAACTTTGACTTTCGATGCTATGTCGTTTTCGTACTGTCGCTGGGCCTCTCTCCTTATCTGTCGCGTACTCGTTTCGGGCTCTTCTACTAATTCCTTATTTTCCTGGGTCTTTGGATCCACTGTACCTTTCCAGTCTCTGTTGGTGCACTTAGTTTTTGCTACCATCACATTCGGGTAATACAAGGGACACGCTTTCGTTCTTCCTATTATTTCTGGTTCCCTTGGGAACAAACCTTTCTGCCTCCTTGCCACTTTGTTGCTACCATATTCATCATCTAGTTTACTGATTTTCTACAAGTTCTCTGTTCCCACCTGAACCTCCTGCAGGAAGTTAAGTTCGTCATACCTGTGTAGGCCCCCCTTTTGTAGTTAGGCTTTTTCCATTCAATTCCTGTTACCTTCTCCACTTGTAACTTACTATATAATCAAAAACTCAGAACCAGGTGATCGCTAGCTCCAAGAGCACTCTCGTTAAGTGATGTCCTCAATGTCTGAAACTGCTCAGGGTGAACACAAGATCCAGTGTGTGTTGTGTGTGTGTGTGTGTGTGTGGGTGTGTGTGTGTGTGTGTGTGGTGTGTTGGTGTGTGTGTATGTGTGTGTGTGTGTGTGTGTGTGTGAGCCCCGTGTGTGTGCGTGCGTGTTGTATGTGTGTTTGGCGTGTGTATGTGTGCGTGTGTGTGTGTTTGCCATGTGGTATTTGCGTACTCATATATGTGTGAGTGCTTTGGACTCGTGGATGCATGTATGACTCGTGTGTGTTGTGTGTGTTGTGTGTTTCCCAAAAATTAATATTTACACCAGTAACTCATTACAGTTGTGACCGGGTGTTGGACGTGTGAATTGCTAATTACTCTGTAATTTGCTCATGATTGTTAGACATGTTATAAACGTAGCAAGTAAATTTACTTATCCGTACATGAATCATTACCTTGTACCTAGTTCAGGTATCAAACTTTGGGGGCCCAGTACCCTGGGACTTATTATGTTACCTCTGTAATCTGTAAATACCTATTGTAACTTGGATGATTGTACCAGATCTACCTTTGTAACTATTTCAGCTATCATTAATTTCGGGATCCAGTCCTGGACCCATTATGTACCTAAGTAATCTTTTGAATACGCCCACATGCATGGGTATGGGGTGCATAATAAACCATATTAAACTAAACTAAGTCCCTTGCCACGTAACGCTTCTCTGTATTACTAGTCTATTGCCTCTCCGGACCTCCTTTGATTTGTATTAAGGATTGGGAGAATATGAGAGATCGCCGTTTTTTTTAAACAATAGAAATATTCTTCTTTTTTCACGTTGACTATTTTTTTTAAACGTTTGACTGGCTGACCTTAGCAGGTGAGAGAAGGCTCTTAAGCAAAGGTTTATGTACTCGGGTGTAACAGCATGGGACTACTGCTTTTCTGCTTAGCGTGGCTGTTAGACGGCCTCCTGCATCTAGTAAGGGTCAACTATTTGTGTCTGTAGAAAGAGGAAAAAGGTCAATACACAGTTAGTTCCAAGGTACTATTCTCTATGTACAAAGTTCAATGCACAACGCAGAAGACAAGAAACAGTGCGAGTATGTACAGAGAAATATCCCAGGTCAGCAGGGACTCGATCCACTACAGGGAAACTGGCAAGGTTCACAAGTGAGACGCTCTTACCCCACTCGGCCAAATGCCTTTAAGTGGGCAGCCCTGGTATACCGCTGTCTATTCCCAGCTCTATTATCGCTTGGGGGCCACCACACTCAGATCTTTGCCGAATTTCCCGACCAGTCTTGTTGACGGGGAGAGACGAAGAGCACAAGCACAAGTCGTTCTCATAATGCCTTACAATGCCCTTGCTGTTGGGTGTATACCCCGACTTTTTTCCTTTTTTTGTAATTCCTTTCTTCTCTCCATTATCTTAAACTATCCCCACTTACCCCTCTACCCCTAGTGGGTCCTTTACCTGTGAGAGTCCCTTGTAAACCAGGAGTGCCCAGCTAATAGAGCAATTGTGGACGAAATGGTAGAGAAGCGTCACTAGGGGGAAACCTTGCCAGTTTTCATCTAGTGAGATCGAGCCCTGCTGGACTGCGATTTTTTCTCCTGTCCAAAGTATTCATGGAGAAAAAAGAGAACCAGTAGTTAAATAGATAATTATTTGGAAAAAAAAAAAAAAGATCGCCCACATGTATTTTATGGCAAGAAAGTGATTCGAGGCACTTTAGTCATATATATAAAATATATATTATATATTATATATATTTATATGCATGCAAAACAAACCACTTTGAAAGAATAGAGAAATTCCAAGCGCTTTCGTGACTACTCACATTATCAAGGAACTATCACAGATAGTTCCTTGATAATGTGAGTAGTCACGGAAGCGCTTGGAATTTCTCTATTTTTTCAGAGTGGTTGTTTTGCATATTTTGAAATCACCTGTTTTACTGTGATCTTATTGCATTATATATATATATATATATATATATATATATATATATATATATATTATATATATTTTATATATATATTATATATATATTTATATATTTATATACATTTTATATATATATAATATATATATATATATATTTTATATATATATATATATATATATATATAATATAATATTTATTATATATTATTTATTATATATATATAATATTTATTTATTACCATCCTTGAACCCTTTCGGTAGGTGACTGTATGTAATTGTAACACGGAGCTCCAGGTAGGTCCTCAGGTGGGTCACTGAAGGGGTCAGTTTGTGGCGGTGGCCGGGGAACACATGTTTTGTTGTACCTGCAATACCATCATACTCTTACTTATTATGAATAGTTCCATGCCTATCCACTGCATAAAGGTCATTAAGGTTGAAATTCGCCCTTACATCAACATTAAGAATACTTTAGTCCATCAAATGTGAATAAAAGTATGTTCATTGAATATACATCTCTCTGTGTCCAGTATATACCTGCGATAATTGCATCTTTAAGCGAAGTACATTTACAGATCCATGAAACATAATTGATGAAAGAATAAATCTCAATTAGTGGACGGAGAATCGAGCCTCCACCACTCCTTGTAGTAAATGGTCAATAAGAGTTTAGCTCTTCATGAAATACAATCAACGGTCTTTTTCAAGACTATTAGATAAATCTTTTGTTTTTATTAAAATTATTAGATATACCGTTCTACTTGGATACATTTTACTCAAACATGAAGTTATGTTAAATATTGAGATTTTGCTCAGGATTTAACTTCTGTGTAATTTAGTTTCTAATACATATAGATTACATTTTTTCCCAGACTTACTTTACAGCCCAATATGGGGAGCCGAGAGGCATGATGGAGTCATCAGTCACCCATGACCAGGCGTTAGTGTCAAGGTCGTAGCGTCCACCGATCCAGTAGTCTGTCGTCAGAACTGTAACAGTGATATAAAGCTGAGATTAACACACTGAGTGACACACACCAACCCGAATGGATATAATACAGTACACATAAGATTATTTCTATGGTCAATTTATTTAAGAACAGGCGCTAAATCTGTATGGGTCATACAGGTTTAGCGGGGTCAAGTGTACAATACACACAATGATCTCTGGACGCTACTAGGTAGTGAGCCTCTTTCTTTAAATGGGGTGTCGAGGCTAGCTCCAGTTAGCCAACAGATACTTAACCAGTTACGGGAGATCATTTAAAAAAAAATCGGGGTCAAGAGACGCTTGTTCTGTTTCCTGACGAATAAACCACCAACTGCTCTCATTATCTTCTATTTTACATTCTCAATGTGGACTCTTTAGTCCCACCAATAGTGTTTATTGCACTTTTGTGTTAGTCTTGTGTACATAAATCCAAGGAATGTATGACTTAGACTTGGAGTAATAACAGCTCATCCAACAAGGTATGGGGACACATGTTAAAACGTTTACTGATTTCTGATTATTATTATTATAATCAAAAGGATGCGCTAAACCTACTAGGGTCATACAGCGCTGCATACTGATTTCTGAACATTACAGAAAGATAAATTACAACTAAGCTATTCAAATGGTTTATTGGTATACATACACGAGGCTACAGTTGCAGGCTTGCTTACTGAACACAACTGATACCAGGATGTTCTCCCAGAGAGCAATATTATTATTATATTTTATTCATGGGGAAACGCTAAGGGGTCACAGTGCCTGGAGAATGGGATGTAATAAGTTTTGATCCAAGAAAGAGGAACAGGAAGGCTAGATAATCTTCCTGCCATAGCTGTTGAAACTATAACACTTCGATTTCAAAAGTAGTCATTCCCCCAGAATAAAACCCGTCATTCAGTGACGCTATGGATATAGCACGCTTAGCTAAGTTATTTGCATATCAGGTTTGGCCAGTGCATATCAATTGCATATCAGGTTTGGCCAGTGCATTTGCATATCAGGTCTGGCCAGTCATTTGCATATCAGGCTTTTGCCCTTGGCTAGGAAGAACTCGAAAAGCCACAGGGCTCCTGGCCGAACCGTATTTTATATATATACTTATTAATCTATCAGCTTTTCTGCAACACTGATCTCTTAATATTTTGCTAATTATTTTATGGTGTTTCATCTGTAGATGAAAACTGATATATCCAAACAAGAAATAATATATAGTCATAAAACAAGAAATAATACATAGCCATAAAACAAGAAATAATACACAGCCATAAAACAAGAAATAATACACAGCCATAAAACAAGAAATAATACATAGCCATAAAACAAGAAATAATACATAGTTATAAAACAAGAAATAATACACAGTCATCAGATAAATAACATTTTGTCATGAAACAGAATTCAGTGTTGTAAGAGTGGCATCGCAGATTTTGAAGGAAGTCTTGAGATCAGAAGAATGCTTTGGTCTGGGAGATTGATCTGTGCTCTTAGCAATAAAAGTAAATTACTTGTCAGTGTATTGTGAACCATTAAATATAAAAATAGATTGGGTTATGAAAACAATAAACAAGGAAAAAAAGTAAATTGTGCTTACGTGCTTCCCTCATGTAGGTCAGTAGATGGGCAAATGTTGACAAATTTTTGAAGTAGAACAGTTCACCATAGATGGAATGACAAAACTGTTTTGCCTCGGGCCATGACAGCTTGAAAAAAAGAACAGTAGCAGTATTATACTCACACTATACTGAAAACTTTAAATAAGTGTTAATTATTTTAAATGCAAAAGCAGCAGCAGTATCGGTAGTTCCAGCAGTACAATAATAAAAATAGGAAAAGCAAATCACTCTAAAAATTTCGGCTATTTTATAAGAAAAATTACTTATGTGTACAAACTGCATCTCTCCATTACGATTTTTTATTTATAATTTGCAACAGTGGTAGTCCTACCATTTTTGATGCCCTAGCTTGGGCCTAGGAAAGATCATATTAAGGTGCCTCCCCCTACCTCCCTCCATCACCAGGACATCCCCCCCCCCCGTGCATGACCTCCCTACAATAAAACACTCACACAATGTCTTTAAAAAATAAAGCGCTTCTTTTATTTATTGTTCTGAGCTTCAAGAAAGAACAACTTGGGTTGAAACTAAAGCTACAAATAAATCTTTAAAATACTAATGAAAACCTCAATAAAGATTTCATTGTATAATGCAAGCAAAATAAATAAATGAAAAGCACCATTAAACAAATTTAAAAACCGGGCAAATTGTAGCTTAATAAATGAGTAAAGTTCAGCTAGAAATAGCTGTATGTTAAACTTGATTCAGAATATTTAGGTCTAGCAGTTTTCATATTAAAATCAGATCCTAGTGGTTTTAATACACAGCAGTACTGTGTCGATCAGGCCCTGGTCTACCTGGAGGCCTGATCAAGGACTGGGCAGCGGGGGCGCTGACCCCCAGAACACCCTCCAAGTAAGTAGGTAGACTGATGCAGAGTGATGTGTCGTCCCTTGCATGACAGAACTGATAAATTGGCTAAGCTGTATGCTTTAAAAGAGGGAGTAGATTACAATCTTGGCTTGTAAGTTAGCAGTTTGAGAACAATAATACGAAAAGAACTTCAACTGAATTTTATTGACTTAAGACTCAGGGAGATTGACACAAGTCAGTCCATCTATCATCATTCTATTATGCAGGAGGAGCCACATGTCTATGGTGCATCCAACAAAATAACCAGACTCTTGGATGTCACTACTGCCCGGCTCCGTCTGGGTTACAAGTATTTTTGGCAGGTTAAATCACCACCACCAGATGTAGCCCAAACGAAATGCAAGCTTTGCCAATTGGACTATTGTCACACCCTGTGTCATTATGTACTGGAGTGCGATAAAATTAATGAATTTAGAGACAACTCATTCAGAAATGTTCAAGAAATGGCAAAGTATTTTATCCACAGTGGTATATTACAGACCATTTCTGGAAAAATACCTTGACTTTGCTCACTGTAAATAAAGCATTACCACGTGTGTGTGTGTGTGTGTGTACTCACCTATTTGCGGTTGCAGGGGTCGAGTCTTAGCTCCTGGCCCCGCCTCTTCACCGGTTGCTACTGGGCCCTCTCTCTCCCCGCTCCATGAGCTTTATCAAACCTCGTCTTAAAACTATGTATGGTTCCTGTCTCCACTACATCACTTTCTAGGCTATTCCCCTGCCTGACAACTCTATGACTGAAGAAATACTTCCTAATATCTCTCTGACTCATCTGTGTCTTCAACTTCCAATTGTGACCTCTTGTTTCTGTGTCCCCTCCCTGAAATATCCTGTCTTTGCCCACCTTGTCTATTCCGCGCAGTATTTATATTTCGTTATCATGTCCTCCCCTGACCCTCCTGTCCTCCAGTGTCGTCAGGCCGATTTCCCTTAATCTTTCTTCATAGGACATTCCCCTTAGCTCTGGAACTAACCTTGTTGCAAACCTTTGTACTTTCTCTAGTTTCTTGACGTGCTTTATCAAGTGCGGGTTCCAAACAGGTGCTGCATACTCCAGTATGGCCTGACATACACGTGTACAGTGTCTTGAATGATTCCTTACTAAGGTGTCGGAATGCTGTTCTCAGGTTGCCAGGCGCCCATATGCTGCAGCAGTTATCTGATTGATGTGTGCTTCCGGAGACATGCTCGTGTTATACTCACCCCAAGATCTTTCTCCTTGAGTGAGGTTTGCAGTCTTTGGCCACCTAGCCTATACTCTGTCTGTGGTCTTCTGTGCCCTTCCCCTATCTTCATGACTTTGCATTTGGCAGGATTAAATTCGAGAAGCCATTTGCTGGACCAGGTGTCCAGTCTGTCCAGGTCTCTTTGAAGTCCTGCCTGGTCCTCATCAGATTTAATTCTCCTCATTAACTTCACATCATCTGCAAACAGGGACACTTCTGAGTCTAACCCTTCCGTCATGTCGTTCACATATACCAAAAATAGCACTGGTCCTAGGACCGACCCCTGTGGGACCCCGCTCGTCACAGGTGCCCACTGTGATACATCATTACGTACCATGACTCGTTGTTGCCTCCCTGTCAGGTATTCTCTGATCCATTGCAGTGCCCTTCCTGTTATATGCGCCTGATGCTCTAGCTTCTGCACTAATCTCTTGAGGAACTGTGTCAAAGGCCTTCTTGCAGTCCAAGAAGATGCAATCAACCCACCCCTCTCTCTCTTGTCTTACTTCTGTTATTTTATCATAAAACTCCAGAAGGTTTGTGACACAGGATTTGCCTTCCGTGAATCCGTGCTGGTTGGCATTTATACTCCTGTTCCGTTCCAGGTGCTCCACCACTCTCCTCCTGTGTGTGTGTGTGTGTGTGTGTGTGTGTGTGTGTGTGTGTGTGTGTGTGTGTGTGTGTGTGTGTGTGTGTGTGTGTGTGTGTGTGTGTGTGTGTGTGTGCGTGTGTATGTGTGTGTGCGTGTGTATGTGTGTGCGTGTGTGTGTGTTTGCATGTGTATTTGCGTACTCATATATGTGTGAGTGCTTGTACTCGTGTATGCATGTATACTCGTGTGTGTGTGTGTGTGTGTGTTTCCCAACAATTAATATTTATACCAGTAACTCATTACAGTTGTGACCGGGTGTGGACGTGTGAATTGCTCATTACTCTGTAATTTGCTCATGATTGTAGCCATGTATAAACGTAAGCAAGTAAATTTACTTACGTACATGATTCATTACCTTCGTACCTAGTTCAGGTATCAAAACTTTGGGGGCCCAGTCCCTGGACTTATTATGTACCTCTGTAATCTGTAAATACCTTTGTAACTTGTCATGATTGTAACCAGATCTACCTTTGTAACTATTTCAGCTATCATAACTTTGGGATCCAGTCCCTGGACCCATTATGTACCTCTGTAATCTTTTGAATACCGCCCACAGGATGGGTATGGGGTGCATAATAAACATATTAAACTAAACTAAGTCCCTTGCCACGTAACGCATCATCTGTATACTAGTCTATGCCTCTCGGACCTCCTTTGATTTGTATTAAGATTGTGAGAATATGAGAAGATGGTTTTTTAAGAATATTTCTTTTTTCACGTTGCTATTTTTTTTAAACGTTTGATGGCTGACCTTAGCAGGTGAGAAGAAGGCTAAGCAAAGTTTATGTACTCGGGTGTACAGCATGGGACATTCTGCTTTTCTGCTTAGCGTGGTGTTGACGGCTGCATCTAGTAAGGTCAACATATCTGTGTCTGTAGAAAGAGAAAAAGGTCAATACACATTAGTTCCAAGGTACCTATTCTCTATGTACAAAGTATCAATGCACCACGCAGAAACAGGCGAGTATGTACAGAGAAATATCCCAGTCAGCAGGACTCGATCCCACTACAGGGAAACTGGCAAGGTTCACAAGTGACGCTCTCTACCACTCGGCCAAATGCCCTCTAAGATGGGCAGCCTGGTTTACAAGCCATGTCTCTTCCCAGCTCTATATCGCTTGGGGGCCACCACACTCAGATCTTTGCCGAATATTCCCGACCAGTCTTGTTGACGGGAGAGACGAAGAGCACAAGCACAAGTCGTTCATAATGCCTTACAATGCCCTTGCTGTTGGGTTTATCCCCGACTTTTTTCCTTTGTTGTAATTCTTTCTTCTCTCCCATCTATTCTTCAACTATCCCCACTTACCCCTTACCCCTAGTGGGTCCTTACCTGTGAGTCCCCTTGTAAACCAGGGTGCCCAGCTTATAGAGCAATTGTGGCCGAATGGTAGAGAGCGTCACTAGGGAACCTTGCCAGTTTTCCTATAGTGAGATCGAGCCCTGCTGACTGCGATTTTTCTCTGTACAAAGTATATCATGGAGAAAAAAAAGAGAACCAGTAGTTAAATAGATAATTATTTTGGAAAAAGCTCGCCCACATGTATTTTATGGAAGAATGTGATCGAGCACATTTAGTCATATACCATCATCACAAAAATCACTTCGATATATCATATTTACGATGCAGCAGGAAAGCGTATGATTTAGATGTCTACTCAAAAAGCTAGGTTAACGGCTGAGAATTCTTATTGTGAAGCCAACACAGTGCAACACGTTTCAGCTAATGAAGTATACTGCATTTATTATTATTATTATTATTATTATTATTATATTTTATTATCACACTGGCCGATTCCCACCAAGGCAGGGTGGCCCGAAAAAGAAAAACTTTCACCATCATTCTCTCCATCACTGTCTTGCCAGAAGGGTGCTTTACACTACAGTTTTTAAACTGCAACATTAACACCATTATTATTATTATTATTATTATTATTATTATTATTATTATTATTATTATTATTATTATAAATAAGCGCTAACCGCGTATGTATCAGAAGGGGTCAAGGTTCCATGCCAGGGAGCCCAATACCAGTGGGTGAGACATCATTGAAGCAGGCACTGGGGGCAAAATTTCTCAATATTTCTGTCACATTTAATAAAGAACCAGATTTCTGTCGAACTATTCTTCAAGCCTGGACCTTTGGTAAATCCTAAACTAACAAGCGATGCCAGTCTCTGTGTGAGCCTGCTCATGTGATACCATGGCAAATTGCTAGGTTTGTCAGCCTTGAATGGACCTAGCCTTTGCTTGGCTAAAAACAAAAAATGGCTTGGTTTAGGGAGACGGGTATTAGTGAAGCAGAAAGCCGACAGAGATAAATATAAAAGCATGCATACTGACATTCATGTTTACTATGTATATCATACACACGGACACCATAATTGGCAATAATGCATACAAACAGACAGAAAACCGGTGCGTATGGTTAGTCTTTAGGGTAAGACGCACCATACTTCGATGACAAAAGAATAATAAATCAAATCATGACATACCCGTTACAAAAAAGAAATAAGAGACAAAGCAGTAAACCTGATAAGTACACACACACACACACACACAATGGGGCCATGGGGCCATGGGGCCAGATAACATCTCCCCATGGGTCCTGAGAGAGGGAGCAGAGGCGCTATGTGTACCCCTAACAATAATATTCAATACATGTATCGAAACAGGGAGATTGCCTGAGGCATGGAAGACATCAAATGTAGTCCCAATCTTTAAAAAAGGAGACAGACATGAAGCACTAAACTACAGACCAGTGTCACTGACATGTATAGTATGCAAAGTCATGGAGAAGATTATCAGGAGAAGAGTGGTGGAACACCTAGAAACGAATGATCTCATCAACAGCAGCCAACATGGTTTCAGGGACGGGAAATCCTGTGTCACAAACCTACTGCAGTTCTATGACATGGTGACAGCAGTAAGACAAGAGAGAGAGGGGTGGGTGGATTGCATTTTCTTGGACTGCAAGAAGGCGTTTGACACAGTTCCACACAAGAGATTAGTGCAAAAACTGGAGGACCAAGCAAGGATAACAGGGAAGGCACTACAATGGGTCAGGGAATATTTGTCAGGAAGACAGCAGCGAGTCATGGTACGTGGCGAGGTGTCAGAGTGAGCACCTGTGACCAGCGGGGTCCCACAGGGGTCAGTCCTAGGACCAGTGCTGTTTCTGGTATTTGTGAACGACATGACGGAAGGAATAAACTCCGAGGTGTCCCTGTTTGCAGATGACGTGAAGTTGATGAGAATTCACTCGATCGAAGACCAGGCAGAAATACAAAGGGATCTGGACAGGCTGCAGACCTGGTCCAGCAATTGGCTCCTGGAGTTCAATTCCACAAGTGCAAAGTCATGAAGATTTGGGAAGGGCAAAAGAGACCGCAGACGGAGTACGTCAAGGTTGCCAGAGACTACAAACCTCACTCAAGGAAAAAGATTTTGGGGTGAGTATAACACCAGGCACATCTCCTGAAGCGCACATCAACCAAATAACGGCTGCAGCACATGGGTGCCTAGCAAACCTCAGAACAGCATTCCGACATCTTAATAAGGAATCGTTCAGGACCCTGTACACCGTGTACGTTAGGCCCATATTGGAGTATGCGGCACCAGTTTGGAACCCACACCTAGCCAATCACGTAAAGAAACTAGAGAAAGTGCAAAGGTTTGCAACAAGACTAGTCCCAGAGCTAAGAGGTATGTCCTACGAGGAGAGGTTAAGGGAAATCAACCTGACGACACTGGAGGACAGAAGAGATAGGGAGGACATGATAACGACATACAAAATACTGAGAGGAATTGAGAAGGTGGACAAAGACAGGATGTTCCAGAGATTGGACACAGTAACAAGGGGACACAGTTGGAAGTTGAAGACACAGATGAATCACAGGGATGTTAGGAAGTATTTCTTCAGCCACAGAGTAGTCAGGAAGTGGAATAGTTTGGGAAGCGATGTAGTGGAGGCAGGATCCATACATAGCTTTAAGCAGAGGTATGATAAAGCTCACGGTTCAGGGAGAGTGACCTAGTAGCGACCAGTGAAGAGGCGGTGCCAGGAGCTCGGACTCGACCCCTGCAACCTCAACTAGGTGAGTACAACTACACACACACACACTCACATATACATATATACACAATAAGATCACAGTAAACAGGTGATATCACATTATGCAGAACACCCACTGTGAAAAGAATAGTGAACTTCCAAGCGCTTTCGTGATTTCTCACATAGTTCCTTGATAATGTGAATGATCACGAAAACACTTCGAAGTTCACTATTTTTCCTAGTGTTGTATCTGCATATATATATATATATATATAATATATAATATAATATATATAATATATATATATACATATATATAATATATATAATATAAATATATTATATATATATAAATATTATGTATGTATGTATATATATATTGCATAACTAAGACCCGCATCAGGAAACACTTGTCCTATTTCTTTGGTTTATATATTTATATATACACGAAGCTAAAGAGAATGCTAATACTCACCTAACTGCATCCCCTCTGGCTCAAGGGAGAGTTTTCGGGACTTGACAAGCTGTGAAATATAACATTGATATTAATAATAATAATAATAAAAATAATTATAATAATAAAGCGCTCAAGCTCGTATGTCATACAACGCTGTGGGCAGGGTTAGTGGGGGGGGGTAGTGCCAGTGTATAATTGAAATCATGGTGCAATAGGTTAGCTTCTGTTAAAAAGCCAAAGATAGTAAGTCTTGATCAGGTCCTGGTCACAGACCCTCTCCAGGTCAGAATAAGTAGCTTCTACCAGCGCATATTTGCTGTGTACCTGTGGTTCATCTGATGACTAAGAACAGAGTTAGAACCATTCTTCGTATTTCTTCTGATAAACTAAATGCCACAAGCACCTGACAGAATCAATGGAAATGGTTGGCAACAGGTAAATAAAAGCAAAGCTTTAACTGAAAAATATAAGTGAAAAGTAAAGTCTTACCTTGCACACCCTGGGGTCTAGCACATCCTCACAACCTGTCAAGCTGCAGATGTCGTGAATGTAGTAACACCTTCCACCACAATTAAATCTCCAGTCGCCACAATGATTTCGATCGAATGTCCAGAACTGCACAAAGAAATAAGTAATATTATATTATATATATATATATATATATATATATATATATATATATATATATATATATATAATATAATATATATATATATGTCGTGCCGAATAGGCAGAACTTGCGATCTTGGCTTAAATAGCAACGCTCATCTTGCCAGATAGGACAAGCGAAAATTTGTGTATGCAGTAATTTCGACAAAATCATTCTGAACCTAAGGAAAAAAACATATTTAACTGTGTTTGTTTAGTATTAAATTATTGTAAACAAATCTAAAATATATTTAGTTGGGTTAGGCTAAAATAAATTGTTCTTCTTATAATAAGGTTAGGTAAGTTTTCTAAGATTCTTTTGGAGGAAAATTAAAATTTTTTACATTAACATTAATGAAAAAATATATCTTTAAGCGTATGAGAAAATTTCGGAAAGGACTTAATTTTAAATGATTTCTTGCTAATTGACCAGTTTTACATATTCGGCACGACATATATATATATATGGGACTTATCTGACACATGCTTCAACACAGTGAATAATTCAAAAACCTAACATAAATGGAAATTTTAAACATATCTTTTTATAGGAAAGTTACTCATTTAACCAAAACTACATTTTTCAGCCACCACTTCAATCAGACAAAAAAGAAGTGCGATTTCTGTCATTTTCTCTTTAACTTTGTCTTGTATAATAAACAACAATCTTGGTATAAGCTAGTTACCCGACATATCTCAGGGTCCTTGTCCGAGCCATCTTCACAGACAGTGTTGGATCTGCATACCGAACCCAAACTGATGCACTTTCCTCCAGTTCTACATTCTATTTGGCCAGACTTGCACTCGGCTTCTGTCACATCTGTGGTGGGACAAGAGAGAGAGAAAAGATGAGTGATGAAGACGCCCCTGTCTTCTTCATTATTTTCACCAATACGCCTTTCATATGCAGTAATGAAGTGAAGAGAGGATTTTAACGATAACTATAAGGCAATATCATATTTAGTGTTTTCATGTGCCAAAATAAGTAATTTGCTACTTTTCTATGTGAACCTTTTACAAACTGCAGAGGCAGAGTATTTTTAAGCTTTCATTCTACTTTTTAATACATCGGCCGTTTCCCACTGAGGTGACCCCAAAGAAAGAGGAAACATTCGCCGTTATTCTTTCAATCGCTGTCTGGCCAGCAGCGTGCCGACCTGAAGATAAGTCGTAAAAAACGATTTTCAATGAATAAACAGAAGGATGGAAGGGGACTCGAACCACAGTCCATGCGTGTAGCAGACATAGCACTGTAATCTCTGAGCCAGAGAGCTTACAAATAGAATGATTTTTATTTCTCTTCGATTTATGGACTATGTAGCTTTGAGGGGGATTACAACAGATGTACCACGAATTCTTCTGGGGCTGTGGGATGAGACAAGACAGCAACAAGTAATGACGCTCAAACAACCTTGTCACAGAAGGCTTGTTGAAAAATCATCATACTGTCAGCTCTGAGTGGTTGGCCGGTTACAACTTGGGGTCCGTTACATGTAAGAATCACGGCTTCAGAGCAATATTATTAACAAGGGCCATAGAGCACCTGGAGATTGTGAGCTAACTGGGTTTGATCCGAACAGGAAAGGGTTGCACCAGGAGCTTTTCACTCTTCCCCTTGTTTGAGTATCCGTGTGAACATCTGCTGTCTGAGTAGTGACACGTCTCTTGCTTCAGTTAGTTACAGAAGGATCAGTGGAAGTGCTTTATATGTGTGTCTGGAAGTGCTACTGTCTCTTCTATGGTGAGTCAAAACTAAAAATGTCCCTGACTATTTACTGTTTCTACTTTTCACGCTTCTACTTCACTGGGGCGCCGCATACTGACAGTAGGCACATTCACGACTGTCTACCATTTAACATTAGCAATAAACGCACGTATGAGTTTCTGAGTTGTCACACAATTTTAATATCACATATTACTTACAGGGTGACGTTAGAGGCATTTATAAGCCAGAGCGTTCCATTGCTCATTCTTATTACTTTAATAACACATTTGTGGTAGGAACATTTTTTTCTAATACGAGTCAGCCGTCCCTCCGGCACCCCGATGACTTTTCATCAGAAATGCAGATTAGGAAGATAACTAAGAGTCCACATAAGAATATAGATAAGATAAATTATATAAATTTAACTTACCGGCAAAGAGGACAACGGCGACTGCTTGTACCAAGAGAATCAGCTTTACATCCATGATGCTGTTGATCCTGAGGGTAGAGTTTGAAGTGAGTCTATGGTACGCTGTTGTGCTGCACTGGGGGTACACGATCTCTTTAATAAACTGCAACATAAGTCATTCACAGCTTTGAAAATGTGCAAGCAAGGGATATGAAGTAAAAAAAAACTTGTACGGAAGATAGCAAGAACACCTCATGGACACTGCATCACCTACGAAATGGTTACTAGACCTATACTATATTAATATTACCAGAAATATGTACCGTATGTAATTTGTTTCTAAGAGTGAATAATGCAGAACACAAATCATCCCGAACTTGCTTGGATATGTAGCGTATAACATGAAATCTAGCAGTTACTAAGTTACTATGTTATGTTAACAGACCTTTCTTCACACAGTTATGCGTTATACAGTAATAATTAAATATTAAGGAATATCTATATTTCGTAATATATATTCTCCAATTTAAGGATCACATTAATAATGAACCATTTTTCTTGAGACTATTATATAGGACATAATAGTCTGAAAGCCTGATAACAAACGCCAATAGGACTCACGAAATCGTAATGACACGATTGCAAACAAACCATACCACGGGCGGGGATAGAACCCGCGATCAGAGTCTCAAAACTCCAGACCGTCGCGTTAGCCACTGATATATCGAATTTAACTGTTTACCTGCATTAGCCGAGATGACTATTGTCCTGTGGCTAACGCGAAAGTCTGGAGTTTTGAGACTCTCTGATCGCGAGTTCTATCCCCGCCCGTGGTATGGTTAAACGCCAATAAAACTAGTTTTGTTCCTCTTTTAAAAGGGCATTTGAATACAAGAGAATAGTAGGCATGATTGGGTTCCCTCATTCATATGACAACATATTAAATCCATATATAAGATTGAATGCATCACATATCGACTGACAATTATCCGATCGAACTCCAAGATCTTCTATCGTCTATCTTTCACCAAAATTTCAGAAATTACGGCGCCAATTACAAAAGGAAGAATATTATTCTTCGCCCAAACGATCAAAGCAACTTTATTAATCATTTGAATCAATGATATATAAAAAACCTATGATGATGAAGTTACCAGCATTCACAATATGCTTACAGATGAAGGGAATAAAACGATGCAAAATCCTCCAGTTTTAATATTAAGACATACCTTCGATATTCCACTGTTAGCATTTTTTTTAACAATAATTTGTCAGCAGTGTATATCCATAGTCGCACTGAATATGTCCTATTTAATTCCAAGACTTATTAATTACAAATTACCTTCAGGTTTTGCAGTCTTATTGCCTAGTTGTGTACGGTATGTACTGTAAAAAACTTTAAATGAATGACATTAGTCTTTCGAATCATACATCAAAACGTATTTTGCTTCATATTCAGTAAAGTTTCATAAGTAGAGTATACAACATTGTATAATTACGATTTTATCTTCACTTTTGATATATCGAATTTAACTGTTTACCTGCATTAGCTGAGATGACTATTGTTAGTAGCCTTAATAGACTATCCTCTATCACCTACTTAGGTTTCAGTTGAAATTATAGGAATGTCCGTAGGTATACCATAGGGAGATGCCCATCGCCATATGCAATTAATATATTAATCTATGCACTTCCAAAAACTTTACCTATTTCACCTGAACACACAGCTACAAGTCATGGAAAAACAGACACAAATACAGTATAATGCGATCTTTTATTGAGTACGTTTCGCCCACCCAGTGGGCTTTATCAAGGCTGACTTGATAAATCCACTGTGTGGGCGAAACGTAGTCAATAAAGAATCGCATTATACTGCATGTGTCTACTTTTCCCATCGTGTCGGTATTTCATTCCATTTATCTCCAGCTAAAAATTATGTTGATGATACCATAAGTCGTACAACAGGATATATGAAAATGAGAGCATAACCATCTTGAAGAATGAGACACTTGTGCAACATCTGGGAATCTTTACTGAGGAAACATTTCGCCAGCCAGTGGCTTCCTCAGTCCAGTACAGAGAAGAAAGGAGAAAGATGAGGAGTTTGAGGTAATATGTACCTCAGCTTGGAGTCAATGCGTTCAGTCCTTCAATCTTCAGAAAAGTACTTTTTACAAGACTGATGGACTGAACACATCGACTGCAGGCTTAAGGAGTAATTACCTCAAACTCCTCTTTATCCTTCTCCGTTCTTTGTATTGAACTGAAGAAGCCACTGGCTGGCGGGACATTTCCTCAGTAAAGATTCCCGAATGTTGCAAAAGTGTCTCATTCTTCAACTGTTTTGTCAAGAATTTAGGTCACAAAACTATCTTCAATACTGGTTCTCTTAACTAATGCCCGAAAACGCCCGAAATGTCTAGGCATGCTAGTGGTCTTCTTTGTAATTAATATTTTATAATATGTGAACCACACATTGAATCTTTACAGAGAAATAAACATCTCAATTTCAACAGTGGGAGGGCAGGAAATATCGTTGTAATGAATCAGCCTGATAATAATACCAAATTGCTCGTCATGCTTATTTATTCTCAAGGTTACAGAAGTTACAACTACATACATCTTAACTGTCTTCCCTATCCGCATTACTTGTTTTAAATATCTGAGCGTAACATACTCGTGTGTGCAGCCAGATATGTAAGAATTATTAACGAAGTGATTCAAGTCAAACATTTGTGAATTTTCTCTCATATAGGCTACCGTAATCATAATGAAGTTGATACCTTATTACACTAGAGTTAAGTAAAAAGGATGTCGTAATGTTTTTGGTTTGTAGAATGCAAATTGAAAATAATCATAGAAAGCAACTAGCAAACATGTTCGAATTATTATTATTATTACATTCAAATGGGAGCGCTAAACCCGCATGGATCATGGATTCATGTTTAATCCAAGGAAGGGAAGGGAAGGTGCACTTCCTTGGAGCAAGAGCCTCCTACCGGCGTTAAGGAACCTATCTCCCTTTGAGAGAGGAAACTGGTTTGAAGGAAGTCGAATACTGCAGAAGGGATCTAGGAAATCCACGTCCATCATAGTGGACATACTTATGGAGAAAACAACAAGATGTGAGGCCTGTAAGATGTCACTCCTAGATAAGGTATAAGTATTTTTGGCAGCTCAGTATGTATAGAGATGGTAATCAAATAAAATGTAATGTGTGTGAAGAGAAACTTAAAAAATTCCAAACTTTTAGAGACGTTCAAATCAAAATTACAAATCTCTCCACTGCTGATGATATGATATCTCAAATCTTGAGAGTTTATCTACACTTTGCATCAACTAGAAAAATTACAACTGTATGATAACACTGTAATTATGACTGGATCTACTGTTTTAAGTTATCAATGATAAGATATTTGTGATCTGAAGATACATCATCATATTTCATTCATAACTATATGACGAGACGAATGACTGTGATCTCTAAAATATCTAACTATACCAGCCTAAGACTAAGATATAAACAAACACAAAACCTTCCCTACTCATTTACCTACAAGGCAGCTAATCTTAGATTTCTTAGTATAACGTATCTGTTAGTAAATCCACTGGAACAACACAATAAGAAATTCAAACAGGCTAAAATGTTTCTGAGAGATTTTGCTACATATAAACTGGAACCATTTGATACCATAATGTTTTAGTTTAAGATGTTGTGTATCGAAAGCTTCTCTTCCTTAAGCATTACTGGATAAGTTTTGGTTTCTAATGATTTATTGAACAATGTTGCAATGGTGGGTGACAGCACATGAGCTGCTATTTTATATATTAGTGGTGATAAATTAACTAAATTTCCTGCCTTTTTTTTTAGTGAATTTCAGTTCGAATTCTTGAAATCCATAAATAAAATGGTGCACACAGGAAAAAAGGTACTCACGTATGGCCTAGAGATTACCTTACTGAAGGGAGGGAGGGAGTAGTGTCTTACCAGCCCTGGGTGAGTAAGATCACTGAGCTACTGGCCAGGGTTGCTGATAAAGCCAGAGGTGGCGGTGGGTGTGTTATCACTTACCTCACCACACTAAAATTAACGTAAATTATCTTAATCATACCCAACCTATCCTAGGTCAGCCTATACCTAGAGTTACTGTATCATTAATTTACACTTGGCTTGTATGTCCAAGAAGATCGTCACTTTAAAAAAACATGAGTTGCCCCCTCCTCCTTAAGAAAAAATTACAATATAATGTAACTACACAGAAAAAATAATTTTACCAAGTTATTTCCTGAATGAGAAAGCAGCAGTTTGATATGCTATATTGACCTTACCATTAAGAGATCAGCTTTCACACTTGTGATATTCGACCACATCCTTGAAGAAACTGCAGACAACTGTTATTTCATAGGACGCATAAAGAACAAACACAGGATACAATACACGTACTCCGATAGGTGTATGCCTCTCAGTATATATGCTATGAATTTACTTTCAACCCCATTTAAGATATTAAGGCATTCTTGACTGGTTGTGAACAGGTTACACGCACCGAGATTGTTGCTGTTCTAGGTTCGCCGGTATAATTGCCCTGCCCGGGCCTTTTCCAAGAGGTGCCCCGGCCTTGGCTCCATGTCGTGGGAGTGTCTCAGACCAATGCCTGCCGTGGGAGGAGATACAAGTACCTTCTCGTCTTCTAGGACCAGCTGTCCTCAGGCCTAGCCCTATTCCTCGCCCCCACGGGGCTCGGAGGGAGACGCTAGGCATCTTGGGCTGCCACAAACCCCGCACGCACTGGGCTCAAAGGGTGTGGCAGCTGCATAGCAGCAGACGATGTCAGGAGGTGCAGAGGCAGCAAGCACTTCAGGATCCTTTTGGAGCCACACCCCAGCTTTGGGCATTAAGCCCAAGAATGGGTAAGCTCAAGAATGCCTCTTGCTGTGAGTATTGCACTCTGTGTCGCACCGAGAGGTGTGTTCTCTCAATAAGACTTGACTTCTCTCCCTCTTTGAAGGATTAGTGTTCTTTACCGGTGGTGAGCAGTAATGTGTTGTCTTAATGACCTATGCGTATTCGATAAGCTTTAAATACAATTAGCCAACTGACGAGCGATTTTTTTTAATTTCTATAGTTATCGTAACATTGTGCGTTATTAACATGAGGCTATTTTAATTCTGCAAACATTTCAGGGCGCTTCTGATTTTCTCATATTAGTTTATGTAGCTCCAGTTATGCAACTGTGGGATGATTACAATTATTTTACATAGTAAAATTATCTAGGTTAATGCGGAAAAGTCAAACAAACTTCTATTTGGGTCCATGTAATATTTAGCTATTATTCTATTGCAGTAAAAAATCATTCATGATTATTAACAATAATAGCAAAATAAAATGAGTAAAGCAAACACAAGAAAATGAATGGCATGAACATTAACAAAGAAAAATCAGTCTAATATAAGAGTTACACGAATGTTAACTATACAGGAAATCACTTGCCTCTCTTTCTGTAGCTTCATTCATTAGCTGCCTCTTAGCTAGTTTCCTAAACTGATTTATACTTACACTGGCCTTGACATGATCAGGCAACCCATTCCACTCTTGTATTGTTGTGTAGTAGGTGTTTGAGGCTCGGCCACTTACGGTACCTACTACGAAACTGTCTTAAGTAAGTATGTAAGTAAGTAAGTTTATTCAGGTATACACAAATACAGTTACATAGAATTATCATACATAGCAGCATATGTGTAGAGAACCTAGGATAACCCAAAAAAGTCAGAGTGACTTATTTCCATTGGGGATAGAGGATAAGTAGGTGATAGAGGATAGTCTATTAAGGCTACTAACAATAGTCATCTCAGCTAATGCAGGTAAACAGTTAAATTCGATATATCAAAAGTGAAATCACTTCCCCTAGGACCATACTAACTTAGGTTCCTAGCCTGGAGAAAAATTTGCAGAAAGATATTCAGGACATTGAGTGTGAGCAATTTGTAAATTTGATTGAAATTTAGCTGCCTTAATCTATCTGCAGCATTAATTATTTCCAGTTGTAATTCACCCCTAAACAAACCTACTTAGTAATGTTTCAAAGAAAATAAAGGAAAACGAGTTATAGTGAATATTATAGAAAATGGATCATTTTTATTGTTTTATGGTCAACTACTTTAATTTTTAGAAATTTTACAGCTGCCTTAAGAAAGATTAAGAGATATTTTCTGGTTATTAACCCAGAGGGTTAGTAACCCAGTATAATTCTTATACTCGTAAGGATAGGTGGCTTAATATCTGATCTTTGCGTACTGACAAACGAAGGATCCCATAATAATCGACTTACGACCCGCAACAGTCTACATGTGATCCCACAATAGTCGACATGTGATCCCACAATAGTCGACATGTGATCCCACAATAGTCGACATGTGATCTCACAGTAGTCGACATGTAATCCCACAATAGTCGACATGTGATCCCACAATAGTCGACATGTGATCCCACAATAGTCGACATGTGATCCCACAATAGTCGACATGTGACCCCACAATAATCGACATATGACCCCACAATAGTCAACATGTGGTCCCACAATAGTCGACATATGACCCCACAATAGTCGACATATGACCCCACAATAGTCGACATGTGATCCCACAATAGTCGACATATGACCCCACAATAGTCGACATGTGACCCCACAATAGTCGACATATGACCCCACAATAGTCGACATATGACCCCACAATAGTCAACATATGACCCCACAATAGTCGACATATGACTCCACAATAGTCGACATATGACCCCACAATAGTCGACATATGACCCCACAATAGTCGACATGTAATCCACAGCAATGCGATCCACAACAGTAGCACATACCTTTATTATTATTATTATTATTATTATTATTATTATTATTATTATTATTATTATTATTATTATTATTGGGAATCGCAAAACCTGTAATGGTCAATCAGGATTGATCTAAGGAACATTCTTCCTAAAATTTGTGTAACATTATTATTATTTTCATAGAGTAAGGCCAGAGCCGTATGTTTGATCCAGTGAAGAGAAGGATACCTCGAAATAATTTTATCAAAAGCCCTTCTGTACCCGCACCTTGAAGGGTTCAGTAAAAAAACAAAATACCTTAATTTGCATAACCTCTGTAAGATTTTTGCATAATTTCTGTGTAGGAGTTACCTCGGAGCTTATCTCTGGGCTACCTGGAAAATAGATAAATTACCAGCAGTGGCTGTATCGTAGGGAAGAGCTAAGCCCGGAGGGGTCATGGAGCGTATCGTAATATTACCTGGTTGCATGTACATATGTACACTTGTGTATATGTATATATATTCATATATGTATATATAAGTATGCGTGTATGTATGTGTGCATAAGTATTCATGTTTATATGCATATATATGCGTGTGCTATGTATAATAATAATAATAATAATAATAATAATAATAATAATTTTTTATTTGGACATGATAGACAGTTGTTTAAGGAATTATAGTAGTTGAGTGTACATGCCAAAAGCCTCTTGTATGCAGAGCATTATGGACAGGCTTAAAATTAACTTAAGATTAACTAAGCATCGATATATTCAGTGGTAAAAATTACAGTAAACAAATTACAACATGAAGTACAGATGAGTATTTTAAACTATGAAATTTGAACATTTCAATTAAGAAGCATTATAGATGTATAAATTTGTAGTATTACAATGCATAATATAACAAATGATCAGTATACTATATGAAGTTATACAATTCATTAATCAGATAAAATAAAATAAAATCAATGATTTGTAGTGCAGAAACAGGTCATGTGGTCATTAGATGAGTTACTGTGCAGTCAAGAGAAAGGATTATTTTATTGGGTAATGTAATTAAAAAACAGGTTATACATTTATGAAATACAGTTATTCAATATTTATTTAGTAATGGGTGAGTAAGTGGTTTTTAAGAAGAGTCTTGAATTGATAAACGGACAGTGTTTCTTTTGTATTCACAGGTAATGAATTCCAGATTTTTGGGCCGTTTATGTGCATTGAGTTTTTACATAGTGTGAGATGGACACGGGGAACATCAATGAGAGATCTGTGTCTTGTGTTATGATCATGTATTCTGTTGAGGTTGGTAAGGAGGAGTTTGAGGGGAGGGTTTATATCTGAGTTGAGTATTCTATGTATGTAGTAGGCACAATAATAAGTATGGATGTGTTATACGGTGAGTAAGTTTAGAGTTTTGAATATTGGTGGAGTATGTTATATATATATATATATATATATATATATATATATATATATATATATATATATATATATATATATATATATATATAATATATATATATATATACATATATTATATATATATATATAATATATATATATATATATATATATATATATATATATAATATATATATATATTATATCGCGAAAAAGCGAGTGTAGCTACCTGCCGACCCAACGTCTAAAACCACTCAGCTACGGATGCCTCATAACGTCAGGCAGCTTGTTGGACTGCATTCCCTGTTTCTTCTAATGCCGGGCACACCAGTGAGCCTCAAGCATGGTCTCCATCTATTTCATTCTTTTCCTGTATGTTCTGACCTCACGAACGATATATTCAATGACCCTCGCATGTTTCTGCTAGGGGCAATGATTATTATTATTATTATTATTTCTAAATGTCACACAGCACTTGTGGAGTGAAACGGGTGAGGGAGTAATCAGGTTTAATCCGTGGAAAGGTAGGGTCTATTCCTATGATCAAAAGCCCTCAATTACTGGGAAAGCTTGAAGTTTTTCAACCTGTACTCCCTAGAATGCAGGCGGGAGAGATACATGATTATAATCACTTGGAAAATCCTAGTGGGATTAGTACGAAATTTGCACATGAAAATCACTCCCTATGAAAACAAAAGACTCGGCAGACGATGCAACATCCCCCCAATGAAAAGCAGGGGTGCCACTAGCACGAGAAGAGACAAGTATGTCTATCCAGGTACTGGATAGGCATCTAAAGTCAGTACTTGACCAGCCGGGCTGTGGTTCGTACGTCGGGTTGCGTGCGTCCAACAATAACAGCCTGGTTGATCAGGCCCTGATCCACCATGAGGTCTGGTCACAGACTGGGCCGCGGGGGCGTTGACCCCCGAAACCCTCTCCAGGTATACCAGCATTAAGGTACCTCACACCCTTAAGAGAGAAACTGATTTAAATTCTGTGGAGTAGAAAACAATATAGGTCAATTTGCACGATTTTAATGTCTAGACGCGGTATAGTCTGTTTAGCAGAGGCTGTGTAAAAATTTACACTTTTATTTTCCTTTTTATGGCTTATTGGGATTAAAACCTATCAACTACACGAAGGGTCACTAATGTTGCATTTGACCTATACTTCACTAGCCAAGGATAATTTAATCCATGAAATAAGAATTATTGTAAACTCTCGAAGCATACACAATGAGAGGTGCACAACTCTTGGTACATATACCCTTGTTCCCCTCTGGTTGGCTGATTAATTGGGTTGAACGTCTATCGGCTACACCAGAGTTATTGAGCACATGTGAGATAACCCATTCAACTCCAGTCAAGAATACTTTATTAATAAAAAAAGATTTAAGTAAACTCATTACATATAAACTGATACATATATGTCTACATGTATATAATCTATGATTTTCCCCTCTGATCCATATTTTCTAAATGAGTAACTACTGACTTCCAGTCCAGTCTGCTGCCTTGTTCTCATATCCTCCTCCTCTGTAATT